GCGATTGGCACAGGACAGAGTGGAATTTAGGGCTGTTGTACATAGGGTCGCTATGAGTCGCAAGCGACTCGATGGCACATAACAACAACAACAACAACATTGTGAATAACACTGTGAATATAGGTATACAAATCTCTGTGCCTCAGTTCTGTTTTCCTCAAGGTAAGTTCCTAGTGGTGGAATAGCTGGGTCATATGCGATTTCTATGTTCAGCTTTTTGAGGAAATGCCAAACTGCTTTCCAGAGAGGCAGTATCCTTTTACAGTCCCACCAACAGCATATGAGAGTTCAGTCTCTCCGCATCCTCTCCAACATTTATTGCTTGCTATCCTGTTAAACTTTTCCACTGCTGCTGGGGTCAGTACCATTTATGTTTGTTTACTGTACTCATTGTGTACCTCTAAGTATTTTTCCTTTCTTTGGTCATCCTCATCACTCAGTGCTCTCGAGTCAGAATCAATTCATAGCTGTGGGTTTTCAGAGGCTGTAAATTGCATAGTAGCAAAATGCCCATCTTTCTTCTGTTAAGCACCAGAGGGATTCAAACCGTCTGCCTTTAGGTTGACAGTGCAACCTCCTACTCACTAGACAACCAGAGCTCCTTCTCTTTAGGGTTATTATATTATCACCTTACTGATATTATGTTATCGCTCATCTTAATATTTCCTTGTTATTTATTTACTGACTTTTACTGCTCTCTCCCCATTCCTGGCCATACAATATTTGTCCTTTTGTGACTAACTTAATTCACTCAGCATAATGTTCTCGAGATTAATTCATGTTATGTAGTATTTTACAAATTCTTCATTGTTCTTTATTGCTGCATAGTTCCATTGTTTGTTTATTTTCTTTTCTTTTTTATTTTACATTATTATTTTTGTGTGTTACCGTCAAACTCAGATCTCACTGGTACAGGAGGAGATTCCCCCTCCTTCTCCAGCAGAGCATGTGGTGGATTCAAACCGCAAACCTCTGGGATTGCAGTACAGCTTCTTGCCACTAGGCCACCGGAGCTCCCTATAGTTCCATTGTTTGTATATATCATTTCTTTATCCATTCATCCATTAATGGACATTTTGGTGTTTTCATCTCTTTAGTATTATAAACAGTGCTTCAGTGAACATGGGTGTGCATAATCTGTTCGAGTCACAGCTCTTTATTTCTTTACAATATAATCCTAGTAGTGGGGTGGTGGTTGTTTTTGCTGTTGTTGAGATGCTATCCCATTGCTGTTTTGCTATACATCTCTAATAGTTGTTGTTGCCTTCGAGTCAAGCATCGTCTGTCATCCTTAGTCATTGTCCAGCTCTTAGATGTATAATAAGTAATTGTGAAGACCATGGCCTGGATTAGGTGTACCTTAGTCTCTAGGCTGATATCTTTGCACTTAAGCACGCTGGAGAGGTCCCTGTTAGCATACTTTCCTAATCCAATACATCTTCTGATTTCCTGGCTCATGGTTCCAAAAGTGTTGATTATGGACCTGAGCAAGCTGAAATCGTTAACAATCTCAATCTCTTCTCCATCTGTCCTGGTGCTCCCTAATTGGCCCAGTGATGAGAATCTGTGTTTTCTTGATGTTGAGCTTCAATTCCTATTGAAGAACTGCAGTTCTTGACTTTCTGCAGCAGATGCAATGTCAGAAGAGATTCTGAATATTGCACTATAGCACCGAGAAGCAAAAGCAAAGGGAAGAAGTTAAGGAGCTGAACAGAGATTTCAAAGGGTAGCATGGGAACACAAAGCAAGTATTATAGTGAAATGTGCTTGCTTGGCATTCATTGAACTGAAGGAACTGAAGAACAAATTCAAGCCTCGAGTTGCAATACTTGCAATATACTAAAGATGCTATGAGTAGAATACTGAATGACTCAGGATGCATTAAAAGAAGATGGAAAGAGAACACAGAGACACTGTACCTAAAAGAATTGGCTAACACACAAAAATTCCATGCAACAACAAATGACTAAGAGGCAATGGTTCAAACCAACTATGAGATATCATCTCACCCCAGTCAGAACAACAAAATTTAACAGAACAGCGAGCAACAAATGCTGGTGAGGTTGTGGAGAAACTGGAACCCTTATTCACTGTGGTGGGAGTATAAAATGGTGCAACAACTGTGGAAAGCCATGTGGTGCTTTCTCAAAAAGTTAGAAATAGAGATACCATTTGACCCAGAGACCATAACTGCCACCTAAGCAGATATATGCACACCCATGTTTATCACGGCTTTGTTCACAATAGCAAGGAGTTGGAAACAACCTAAGTGCCCATCAACAAACAAATGGTTAGAGAAGCTGTGGTATATTCACACAATGGAATACTACACTGCATTGGAAAAACAAGGAACTCATGCAATATTATTCAAAATGGGTGACTCTGGAGGACGTTATGCTTAGTGAAGTACGTCAGTCACAAAAGGACAAATACTGCATGGTGCCACTGTTGTAAGACAGGACTGACATCAGGGTTGAGGGGAGACTGAAAGAGATGGGTTCAATAATGTATATGGCATTGCAACAGATGAGGGAGAAAACTGCTTAAGAGGGATATGTGATTAGGTATTTTTGTCATGACAGGAGTCCAGAGCGAAGGCTGCATAGTGGAGTGGACCTGGGGGGTGTGGGTGGGGGGTTTGTAAAATAGTGAAAGAATTTTTCTTTTATTTTTCCAAGAGGGAAGTTTACTGGAGTGGGGGGTAGGGGAGAAAAGTGCAACAATGAATGGAAATCCAAAGTCTCTAAATTTTTATTGAAGTTAATAATAACAAAAAATGAAGAAAAAAAAAAGAGGCAATGATGATGGAGGAGGAAGTTCAAGCTGCCCTGAAGGAATGGGCAAAAAACAAGGCTCCAGGAATTGATGGCATGCCAATTGACATATTTCGGCAAACAGCCTCCCCCTGGCAGGAACCCTTTTTGAGTCATTACAGATTCCTTTGCATTACCTGTACTGACTCTTGGACTTTGATGTTTTGGCTGTGTTGTACATGTTTACGTTCAGATACAGAGACCAAATGGCTTCTTCAACAGGTATATACTAAATGATTCAGGCCATGGTCTTCCCAGTTACTAGCTGTGCATCTGAGACCTGGACAGTGAATAAGGATAACAGAAATAGAATTGATACCTTTGACCTGTGGTGTTGAAGAACACTGAACATGGAAGGCCAAAAGAATGAACAGATCAGTCTTAGAGAGGGTGCATCCAGAGTGCTCTTTGGAGGTAAAAATGATGAGGCTTCGCCTCACATACTTTGCACATATTGCTACGAGGGGCTATTCCTTGGAGAGGGGCATGATGTGGGAAAGGGTGGAGGGTCGGTGAAAGAGAGGAAGATCCTCAACCAAGTGGACTGACATGGTGATGGCTGCAATGGGCTCTTGGGTGTCAGGAGTGTGAGGATGGTGCAAGACAGGACTCAGTTCAGATCTTTTGTTCATAGGGTCACTGTGAGTCTTACTCGACTTGATGGCACCTAACAACCACAACAACAGCATACTAAATGACTAGGAGGCTCCTGTGCAGTGGTTTCACTCTAGAAGCTGGTTTCTTGCATCTTTTGTTCATGGAGTCTCTGTGACTCATGCTGTACTTGATGGCACTCAACACCAACAACAGGATATTCAAACACAGAAACAGCAAGAACTGGAAAATCACGGCATTTTCTCTGTTTTTGACATGTTTATCTAAAGCTTAAACAGAAAGATTTATTGCAGATTTCTTTCTAAATGTACTGGATGCAAGTTGTTGTTAGATGATGCCATCAAGTTGGTTATGAATCCACCAGATGCTCCGCTGGAGAAAGAAGGACAATCTCCTCCTGTGCCAGTCGGATCCAATTCAATGTACACAACAAGAAAATAAACCAAAACAAGTTGATTATGACTCATAGTGACCCTGTAAACATCAGATCTGAACCTTGCCTTCTTCTGCACCATGCTCACCAGCTCTGATCTGCTCATGGTGGTTCTTTCTCCAGTTCCTGCAGGTTGGGCTTTAGGCAGGGTTGTTAAGTGGGTTCATGAAGCTGTGACATGCTTTAGATGTGACTGACACACATATAAGAGGCTTCCAGATCTTCTCTAAATTTAGTTGTAAACCATTAACTCTTGTTCTTTGGTTTGTTCGCCTTGAAGTGTCTTTGGTCTTGGATTATAAATTTACACAGTTAGACCTTCTAAGTTGGGTGACACACAGGAATCTATAAAACGGGAGCTCATGTTTTTTGTTGAGTCTCAGGTGGAATGTTTGGTTGGTTTTTTATTTAAGTCTCTTGTTTAGTTTTAGCAACACCTCCTGGAGGGTCCTCGGGCCTCAGGCCTCAGGCCTCGTTATATTTTGGAGGAACATTCTTCTAAGTCATACAGCACTCTTCTGTCAATTTGTTGCACTGAGGTAATCTGGGTTTGCTCTAATGCTGAACTTTGTGCCACTGGGTGTCAGATGCCATAATAGTTGTCCATCATGGAGCTCCCAGTTTAAGACAGACTTGGAAGCAGGAGTGGCATCCACTTCCTAAACCACATACCTTTGGAAACTCTGAACTTTGATAAATGTCGATAGTTTCAGAAAGGCTTCAGGCCTTTTGTTCATAGGGTCGCTATGAGTCATGCTCGACTCGACAGCAAACAACAAAACCTGCAACTCAGAGCAATTCTTTGTACAGCAGCTCTAAAGCCTGACCTGTCCTGAGCCAATCTCACAGACTCTGGTACACCTACTCCCAATGCCCTCCTTTTCTGTGCTGTCCCTCCACCTTTCCAAATGTGATGTCTTTCTCCAGGATCGGTACCCCCTGACCACGTGCAGTCTGACATAATTTCTGAGTGAGTTCTGGTGGCCTCTTGGCAAAAGCTGCTCTGCAGTCCCGAAGGCATGCAGTTCAAGGCCACCAGCTCCTCTGTGAGAGAAGGATGGGAAGTCTCCTCCATGTGATTAACTGCCTCTGAAAACCCACCAGGGCTCAGCTGTGGGTTGGTTCCAACTCGATGGTACACAACAACAACAAATGTATGACATAATTTCTGAGTCAGTTCTCTGGCTTTACCTTCTGTTTTAAGTACTAAAATGAGTTAAAATAAAATTATCTCTGATTCTCCAGGTATTGGGAAGATATTTATGCAGCCTGGTCAGAACATTAAGTTCTTTGCCAGATAAAAAGAAGGAATTTTTACAAAATGGCCCAGACCTTCAAGACTTTTTATCTGGTGAACTTGCTGACAAGAGTACCTGGAATGAATACAAAGGAAACTTAAAACGACAGAAAGGAGAAAGGTAACTGACACTTCCCTCATTATGCATTATCTCCAGATACAAACAAAGGCCAGAGTATCTTTTTCATTTCAGACTTGTTAAATTTAGCTGAAATCACTCCAAGTCATAGCAGATGAAACCCTGAAGAACAGGTAAGTAAGTGAAGGTGTCAGAATCCTTTCCTTTTCTCTTTCCCCACTGACAGCTTTTCTTCCAGCTTCTGAGGATCAATTCCAGGAGCCCCAGCCACCCTCTGCCACCATCTCCCCCCTCCTGTTTTCTGCCCAGCATAGGATTTCTTCAGAGGCCAAGTTAGCACCTTGCTACTTGTTGTTATGTGCCGTCGAGTCGTTTGCGACTCATAGCGACCCTATGTACAACAGCCCTAAACCATGCTCTATCCTGTGCCAGTCTCATTGCCCCTGACACACCCATCCTGATTACCCCAGTCACTGAATCAATACACCTCATAGAGGGTCCTCCGCTCTTACGCTGTCCCTCCACCCTACCAAGCATGATGTCCATGTCCAAGGACCTGTCTTTCCTTACAACATATCCAAAGTATGTCAAACAAAGCCCCAGAATCTTTGACTCCAAGGAGTAGCCTGGTTTAATCCTCTCTAGGATGAATCTGTTTGTTTTCTTGGCAGTCCAGGGTACATTCAATATTTTTCTCCAGCACCACAGCTCAAAGGCATCAATTCTCCTTCTGTCCTCCCTAGTCATTGTCCATCTCTCTGATGCGTAACAAGTGATTGCAAAGACCATGGCCTGTATCAGGCGCACCTTAGTCTCCAGAGAGACACCATTGCTCTTGAGTACTTTAGAGAGGTCCCTAACAGCAGACTTTCCCATCGCAATACATTTTTTTATTTCCTGACTGCTGGTGCCAAGAGTGTTGACTGTGGAGCCGAGCAAACTGAAGCTGTGAACAATCTCAATCTCTTTGCCATCCATCCTGATGCTGCCAATTGGTCCAGTGGTGAGAATCTTTGTCTTCTTGACATTGAGCCTCAGTCCATACTGAAGGCTGCAGTCCTTGACCCTCTGCATCAAGTGCATGAGGTCCTCCTTAGTTTCAGCAAGCAGGGTTGTGTCATCCGCATAACACAGATTGTTAATAGATCTTCCACCAATCCTGATGCCATACTTCTCCTCATAGAGCCCCACCTCTCGGGATAATCTGCTCTGCATACAGGTTGAAAAGGTATGGAGATAGGACACATTCCTGGCGTACATCCTTCCCAATTTTAAACCATGCAGTGTTACCGTGCTCTTTTCTGATGACTGCCTCTTGGTCCAAGTATAGGTTTCACATTATATTTTCAGTTCTTATTCAGTGCTGAAGATCCTAATTTGTTTCATCTTCCAGTCAGTTTACATTATTTTTTTCCTCTAGAAACCTTGTCTTAATTCTAAAGAATGATGAGGGCATTTTGTGTGTTGGTAACCTATTTTGGAAGATATTTTTTCTGCAATTTTAAGATCACTTGTGGGTAGATTAGGGGGAACCTGAGGATGCTAGACTCTATTCCTAAGTTTTTGCTATTAAGTGCTGTCAGGTGGCCTTAGAGTCATGGTGAGGATGTCATGGAAAAGTAGTGCTGGTTAGCATCTTCTTGGCTGTAGTCTTCACATCTAAGAGAATAAATAGATATGTCTGAGAGAAGGTGCAGCCACAGTGCTCCTTGGAGGCAAAGATCATGAAGCTTTGTCCCACATACTTTGGGTATGTGGCTGGGAGACGCTATTCCTTGGAGAGGGACATCATGCTTGGAAAGGTGGAGGGTGGAAAACTTTCAACCAGATAGATTGGAAGTGACTGCAGCAGAGATTGTGAGGATGGCACAGGATAGGACAGGGTTCAGATCTGTTGTTCACAGGGTCACTATGTGACTTGACGACACCTAAAAACAGAAATATTTACAGAAGTAAATCACCAGTTCTTTCTCCTTTGTAGCTGTTGCCTGAGTTCAAACTGCTGATCTTTTTGTTAACACTCAAGCTCTTAACTGTTTGAGCTACTGAGACTCCTTTTTCCATTTTTTGTTATGTGCTGTTGAGTTGGAACTGACTCATAGCTAACCCTCTAGGGTCTTCAAAGGCTATAAATTGCATAGGAGGAAGTTGCTCTTCTTTGTGCTATAGAGCAGATGTTGGATTTGAACACTATCCCTTTGAGTTGGCAATTCAGCTCCTTACCACTAGGCAACCACAGATTTTCCATTTGTTAATCATAAAATCTGAATTGTAGAGCAGATGATGTATTGTTGGAGTTTCTCCTTACTTGCAATAAACACAGTGCTTTTGAGCAATGTTACTTGTTGAGGAATGAGATATTTAAAAATTTCACATCCTTTATTAGTCAATCATTTATTGACTCTTTACCTTTGCAAAAGGTAGACATAAGAATAGTGCCTTATTAGATGTCACTAGTAGTGTTTGGTTTTGTTTTTTACTGTAAGTGTTGTAGAAAGTATTTTGAGCAAGTCTAAATTTGATTCTTTTACTCTTAGGCTAGGAATCAGAAGAATTGGTCAAAGCTTATGAAGACAGTTTTTAACTAGGAATCATGGTAGCAAAATACCTTTAAAGCTATGTGATTATTTGGCAACACATTTTTAGTTATGTTTCATTTTCCTCAGGTTAAGTCTCCCTCCATGGCTAAAGACTGAAATTCCCATAGGGAAAAATTACAACAAGCTGAAAAACACGCTACGGAATTTAAATCTTCATACAGTAAGTATGGTAAAGTGTTAATGGATCCTCTTAACCAAAAGCTGCTATTGTTGTTATTTGCTGTCGAGTTATAGGTGACTCATAGAGACCCTATGAACAAAAGACCTGAATACTTGTGTAACTTTCATCGTTTCTCCAAGTTCATAGGGTTTCTGGAGGCAAGGTATTTCAGAGGTGGTTGCTCTTCTTGCTTCCAAGTTTATTTTAATTGGGGAGCTCCACCAAACACTGCCCAACCAAAAGCTGTAGTGTTTCTAAATATATTTAATTTAATAGTAAATAAGTAAATAACAAAGCAGGAAAAGTGATAAAAATATTTGTCATCATCATTGTTGTTGCATGCTGTCAAGTTGGAACCAACTCACGGGACCCTTCAGTGGCAATAAATTGCATGAGAGGTAACTGCCTGTCTTGTGGGAGCGTCTGGTGGATTTGAACCACTTGCCTTGGGAGTGCAGCTCAGCTTCTTACCATTGGGCTATCATTGCTCCTAATAAAATTATTTAGTGCTACTTTATTTTCTATAATGGAAATACATTTAAAATAATTTTCCTTGCAAAAGAAAAAAAATGCTATTGTATTTCTTAACCTCTCATTTAATAGTTCAAAAAGAGATTTCTTTGTTGTTTGTATGCAACTTGAGGGAAGGGTTCTTTGTTGTTAATTTGCTTTGTATACAAATGATACATGTTAATTAGAGAATATCAAATTGAACTTGAAAGTGTGTTACATAACATGGTATAAGTACAATCTTAAATCTTAGTCACACAGTTCTCAAGTCTCAGTCTTTTAGACATTTGTATTTCCACATATAAGAGATGTATATAGTTGTGTGTTTTTATATGTATATGGGGTGAGGGGATTCTGGTGACACAGTGCTTCATGATGGGTTGTGTCACTAACAGGTCTACAGTTTAAATCCATTAGTTGCTCCAGGGAAGAAAAATGAGGTGTGTGCATGTGAGTGTATTTATATATGCATGTGTGTATATATATTCACATATATATATGTATGGATTATTGTTGTTAAGTACTATCAAGTAAGAACGATCTCATAGCTTATTGGGTTTTCAGAGATAGTAAATCATGTGGAAGGAGATGGTCCATCTTCTCCTAGAGCAACTGGTGAATCCGAACAGCATACCTTTGGTTTACCCCTGCACCTCCTAACCCCTGAGCTACCAGAGCTCCTTTATATATTTTTAGAAGCTTTTAATTTAAAAACAAAATCCTGGTAGTCATACGATTTTTCAGTTTGACAGCATTTTTTTTAAATAGTGACTTTTATAAATATGTCTAAAGAAGAGGTAGGTTCTGAAATGTCTGGTCACTGATTGTCCAGTTGGTGAACATTTTCAGCTTCATTGTATCCAGTTCCTTTTGCCAACAGGTGTGTGAGGAAGCGCGATGTCCGAACATTGGGGAGTGCTGGGGAGGTGGAGAGTATGCCACGGCCACAGCCACAATTATGGTAAGACCCGCCGGAAGCAGGGAAGCCTTAGAAAAAAAAAACTAAAAGGAAATATTGTTGTCTTCTAGGAAGCTTCACTAGGGAATACAGAATGTGTACATGACTCACTCAGATCAGATTTTTTTACAGCCTTTGAATGTGTGAGAAATGTGAAGAAATAAATAAACCTGACAGAATGATCCATGTGGTTGTAGTCTCACTCTTCTCTGACTACGCCTGGTGTTGATTCTTCCAGCTCTCTGTCAGCTAATTATGTGCTATCTCGAGAAAGCCCTTTTAATCATTTTGGGGAATGTTACATATGATGCTTATCTTTTCATGTATTTTCAGCTATGCCTTTAACTCCCAGAGGCCTGCACTCCTCTCCGTTAGGTGTCTATTTCTAATCTGTTAAGTGTCTTAAAAACAATTGTATATTTTTTATAAAGTAATTTTTATTGCTTATTGAGTAGATGCCAGGCAATGTTTATATACAATATGCAAGTTATAAAGAACAGCACTACAGCAGACACCCGAGTACTCCCTCCATTCTGAGAGTAGAGGATCAGCATTTTCTTCTAATCCTCCTGTATGACCCTTTCTGGGCCTGTCCCTTCCCTCTTTCCTTAATAATATTCTTGTATTTTTATTGTTACTTGAGTTTATAAAATTTACAAACCGTACTGGTTTTTCATTCAACCATCCACACACCTTTTGTTTTCTGACAGTAATTGCAGTACCCACAATGCAATCAAACCTTCTCCCTCTTCTTTGTACAGTGCTCATTTATGTTCATCCTTCTCTCGAACACCTTCCTGTCTTGGAGACTTTGTCCCTGGGCAAATGCTGCCCTGTTGGCCTCAGATGGTTGGTTACTCTCAGGAGTGGGTGCCTCACATTATCATTTACCTTGTCATTTGGCTGAAAATTGAGCCATGGGGTAAATTGTGTTCCAGATTTGAAGGGTGACTAAAGGCCGTCATCTTGGGAGTTCCAGCAGACTCTATCAGACCGGCAAGCATGGCCTTTTTACGTGGATGTATTTATAGCATATACTAATGCATATAGAAATGTGATCTGCCAGATCTTTGTGTGGTCATGTGTGCCATCCTTTTCACAATCAGTATCTGTTCATCTTGCCTGTCTGGGTAGATCATATCACATATATAATATCACATATATACACACATGCATATCATTTACCATAGCATGTGTATGTCACCTGCTGTTGACAGAGTTTCTTATATACCTTTCTATTTTCTTTTTTTTTTAGTGCTGCCATGCTAATCATCCCCTTATTATTGAAATTCACCTTTCCCTTCACCCATCATAATGTCTATCATGTATCTATTAATTTTTGTTCCCCTTTTTCCTATCCCTAGTAACCATTATTCTTAATTCTAAGTTGATTATTTCATTTATTCCCTAGTTTCTCCAGTATGCTTCTATTCCAAACTATATATCATTTGGTTTTTAATACTTCAGACTCTTTAAACATAGTCAGACTGTCTATAATCTTTGCAGCTTATTTTACCTTTCCAGCATTGTGTTGAAAACCATCTGTTCATTTGCTTTACACTGTGACGTCTCTGTTCTAGCTGATGGGTGACACATGCACGAGAGGTTGCAGATTTTGTTCCGTTAAGACTGCGAGACAGCCCCCTCCACTGGATGCCAACGAGCCCTACAATACGGCAAAGGCAATCGCCGAGTGGGGTCTGGATTATGTTGTCTTGACGTCTGTGGACAGAGATGGTGAGTGTTACAGTGTCTTTGAGAAACTGACTCTTATTATAAAATTGTGACTTCATTTTGAGTAGTGTATTCTTGTGTTTGTAGATATGCCTGATGGAGGAGCTGGGCATTTTGCAAAGACTGTGTCCTACCTAAAGGAAAGGTACTGATTATTCATTTAAGGACCATTTCCCCTCCATATCATGTCAGTTATACAAGGTCTTTTGGCAAAGATAAGGTGGGGGTGATTATATACCTTTCTGATAGTCTACTAGAAATTACATGTTTCTTTAAAAAAAATAGCCTGCACATAAAAGTACATATTTGCAGAAAATTTTAAGGGGTCCAGAGCCATGAACTTTTCTATGGCCCTATTTGAGTACAGTCTAAACTTTGAGTATTTTTAAAGTTGATAGCAATTGAATACTGACATTTACTGTTTTGAACAGTACATATTGTACTGTACATTTTGTACAATTGAATAGGTACATCAATTCTTTTCATCATTTTAATTTTTTTTCTCCTTAGGAACCCAAAAATCCTTGTAGAATGTCTCACCCCTGATTTCCGAGGAGACCTCAAAGCAATAGAGCAAGTCGCTCAGTCGGGATTGGATGTGTACGCACATAATGTAGAGACGGTCCCAGAACTACAGAGGTGATTGTGTGCCCACAGTAGCGTAGGAGAAGTGGCAAGAGTCAAATCTGTGACATTGGCTCAGATTTTTAGGGGAGAACTTTGTAATTGACTCTTTCCGTGTAACTTTTACTTTATAAAAAAGCACTCTACATTAAAACTAATAAAATTTAATAATAATAAAAAAAAACACTCTAAGCTTTTCACTGAAAACAGGAAATGTAGCCAGCATAAAAGAACATAAGTTCAGTATTCTTACTCAGTAATATTTGTGATTTGTACCTCATTATTATTAGGTGCCATTGAGACAGCTAGAATTCATAGCAACCCTGTGAACGACCTGTACCATCTATACCAACCACCTGTGATACACTCGCCCCGTTGTTAGTCACTGTGTCAGTACACCATGCTGAGCCACTTCCTCCTTCTCTGACCCTTCACCCTTCCCAGCATGACATCTTTTTCCAAATACTGGCCCCTCCTGACAACACACCCAAAGTATATATCCTTGCCTCTAAGGAGGACTCTGTTGCCCTTCCTCCAAGAGAAAAACTTGTTTGTTCTCTTGGCAGTCCATGAGATAGTCAGTACTCCTCACCAGTACCACAGCTCAAGGTCATCAGTTCTTTGTCCTACCTTATTCATTGTCCACCTTTCCCATACGGGGGAACAATTTAAAATCAACACCTTAGTATATTTTTAATATTTGTGTGTATATGCTGCAAGGAGCCGTGGTGGTGAGTGCCTGATCAGTAGTTAGAATCCACCAGCTGCTCTGTGGATGCAACATGGGCAGTTTCCTCCAGTGAAGTTTTATAACTTCGCAGATCCAACGGAGGGTTGCTATGTGGCAAAAAGCTGCACTGCAATCCCAAAGGCACATGGTTTGAATCCACTGGATGCTCTGCTTGAGAAGGAGGGGCAATCTGCGCGCATGCCAGTTGGATCCAATTCGACAGTACATACAAAATAATAATAATAATAATAATAATATTCTTAAAAGACTTTCAAGACATTTGGTGTTTTATGTAGTAAACAGTGCAGAAAAAGAACTAGTATTCAAATGTATTGTAGATCTCTTTTGGAAAAGTAAACAGTTTCTTTACTCTTATATATTTTTTAATTTTTTTATTGTATTATTTTTTTAATTTTTTTATTTTATTTCATTATTTTTTTAGTGTACCATCAAATCAGATCTGACTGATACAGGAGGAGATTGTTCCTCCTCCTTCTCCAGCAGAGCATCTGGTGGATTCGAACCGTGTACCTCTGAGGTTGCAGTGCAGCTTCTTGCCACTAGGCCACCAGAGCTCGCCTATTGTATTATTTTTATGTGTACCGTCAAATCAGATCTGACTGGTACAGGAGGAGATTGCCCCCTACTCTTATATTTTTGATAGTTCATAACTAGACTTACTCTATATTTAGGACTATTCAAATTTGAGAAAAATGAAAATGAATTTTCAGATGAGATTAATGGTGGACCTTATTTCCCTTCATTTTAATCAGTTATTCAGCAGTGATTTTTCCCAGCTTATACAGATTATTCTTTCCTAGAACTTGAAGAAGTTGTCATAAATAATAACCAGTTTCCATAAACAGTCAAAGGAATCTCTTAAATTGGGTGGGGAAATCCTTCAGAAGATAGTTTCTTGCTGTGTCATCACTTTTATTATTTTTAAATTTTCATTAATTTATTTCTTATTTTCCCATCTGATTGAAAAAGAAAGTATGAAACATAAATCACTTAGATTCAATAAAACTGTATTTGGATTCAGATGAATTGCAGGTTTTAACAGCAGCAAGCTTCCTGGCCTTTCAGCCTGGGCTCATTTAACTGTGGTGATTTGGCTGCTGTTGAAGGCTGGCCCAAAGCCTGCTCCTGCCCTCATGTCTCGTGATGCCACCACCAGTGGGTGCCATTTCCTCTGCTTTCCCTTAAACATCCTTTCCAGTGAAAATTCCAGAATCTTGCATTTCATTACCTAGAGATGCCAGTGTTATATGCCCACCAGCAGAGGGCAGCTATGTCTTTAGGAAAGAAATGAACAGAAAGTTTCAGACTTCAAAAATGCAGGTTCGGGTTAAAAACAGTTTTTTCTTTGTTCAGTCTCAGAGTTCTACTTCCACATCCTCACCTTCCTCTCCTGACCACTCATTCATTTTTCCGCTCTGATTCTAGACGAAAATAGTTTCTTCTGTTCTCTCTCTCAGGTCCCAAAGGGTTTAAAAGTAGAAACAGGGGGCCCAGTGAGGCCTTTATTTTTCTTTCCTAAATTAACAGACATTTTAGCACAAATGCTACCTACCACTTAATAGATAACGTGGTTGTAGGAAATGCTTTCCTAGTCTTTGAGGTTGTTTGCATGACTGTTCTTGTTTGAAACTGTACATATTTTTACTGACAACAGCCCTGGTGTTTTTAAGGAAAGTTCGTGATCCCCGGGCCAATTTCGACCAGTCTCTACGTGTCCTGAAGCATGCCAAGGAGGTCCAGCCTGGTGTTATTTCTAAAACATCTATAATGCTGGGTTTAGGGGAGACTGATGAGCAAGTATATGCAACAATGAAAGGTAAGAAATGATGACTCATTCTGATTTAATTTGACTAATAGCAGAAAGTCACTTTGAAGGTCCCATTAAAGTTACACTTCTTACATACTAAGTTTAAGTATGAATGAAGGAATATACATACTTAGTGTAAATGCCAGTAAGAAAGAAGCACAAGAGTACAGCTTCATCCCAAAGGTACACCGTTCGAATCCACCAGATGGTCTGCTGGAGAAGGAGGGACAGTCTCCTCCTGTACCAGTCAGATCTGATTTGACAGTACACACACACACAAAGTAATTAAAAAAAAAATTTCTTTTTTAAAAAAGAGTACAGCTTGTTCCTATTATTGTTAGGGTGCCATCAAGTCATCTGTGACTCACAGAGACCCTGTGAACAACAGGTCTGAGCCTTGCCCTATCCTGAAGCATCCTCACCACCTCTGATTTGCTCAAGCCCATTTTTAAAGTCGCTGTGTCAGTCTGTCCTGTTGGGGGGCTTCTGCTCTTCCTCTGACTCTTCACCTTTTCCAGCATGGTATCTCTCTTTAAGGACTGGCCCCCTGATGACATGCCCAAAGTACAGCAGGTGAACATGGCAGCTGGAAAAGGAAGTGTGGTTTCATAGAATTCCCGTGAATGACATGAATGGAGCTCATTCTATTCTGTTCCCTTTTATCAAGTGAAAACATGATTTTATTCATGGTTCTCATTCAACCATTGGACACTTTTGAGAGGCAGCCATGTACCAGGAACTTGGTGTACACTGACAATTCAGAGATGAATAGGACTAATCCAAGTCTTTGAAGAAAAACTTACAGCATTGCCACAGAACGTAAGCGTTGGACTGTGACAAACTTTAGTCCCATGGCCCATTTGCTCTGTAATGATTGGGTCTCTAAATTTTCACATGTCAAATTATTTCTTTTAACTGAAAGACCTTGCACAAATGCAACTATTTATTGGTTCTAAGAGTAATTTGAATTTAAATAGTAATGAAAGATTGGTTTTTACTATAATACGTGCAGTTTGGAGTTTATTTTAGAAAGATTCGGGTATTTCAGAAGCCAAATCACATCCTCTTGAGTTTGTCTTGTACATTTATTAAAACCCTAATTTGGTGTGTTTGGTCTGTAATATGGATGGTTGTATAAGTGACTCACCCGTTTTATGTAATGGGTTACTGCTATAAAATACCCTCCACACCTATTTTAACGTTAATTCCGTCATGTTAGAAGCATTTGTCCTTGTGTCGATTGTTCCACATGATGGTCTTAATGATCCTTAGTTTTCAACCCTTACTTTGACTCCTGGCACATAAATACTTTTTTACCTGATAAGTACAGTTGTACTCCTGAATATCAGAATTAGAGACCAGCCTAAAGTTCATGGTTTTTCATTTTCCTCCGTAAAATTATGTTTAGATCTACAATTTTAGTATTGTAATAACATCTGCTAATGTAATTGTGGCATTAGCCAGAGTGCAACTTGGAGGCAAAGATGAGAAAGCTTTGTCTCACATTCTTGGGCTTGTTGCTAGGAGAGGCTATTCCTTGGAGAGGGACATCATGCTTGGAAAGGTCAGTGAAAGAGAAGATAACCCTCAACCAGATGGATTGACACAGTGACTGCAGCAATAGGCGTGAGTGCGTCAGATTGTGTGAAGATGACTTAGGATAGGACAGAGCTCAGATCTTTTGTTCATGGAGTCGCTATGGGTCATATACAAAGGCACCCCCTAACAACGATAACAATGTAATTTTAATTTTTATTTTTCCTCCCCTGCAGCACTTCGTGAAGCAGATGTGGACTGTTTGACTTTAGGACAATATATGCAGCCAACAAAGCGCCACCTTAAGGTATATATACCTCATGTTACCAAAAGTTCATTGGTAATTTGAATGAAATATTATTGGTAAAATTAAGATGCTACTAACTAAATGGACTGACAAGGTGACTGCAGCAGTGGACTCAAGTGTGTGAGAGAGGATGAGGATGGACGAGGATAAGGCAGGGTTCAGATGTGCTGTGCATATGGTTGCTGTGAGTCATACTCGACTCGATGGCGCCTAACAACAACAACAGCTAAATCTGTAGTATTCCTTGTATATTTTTTATTCCCATTTTCTATTTTACTATCTGCAGAAAGCAGCCCACCGGGCACTTGTTCGCTGCCCCCTCAAATTGTACAATTCAAGCAAACCTTTAAGATAAAATGTTGAATGTTGAAAACTTGTGTTCATTCACACTTGGTGATCTTATGATTTGATTTCAATTTAGGTGAGAGAAACTTTTGTGGAGTAGCATCCATTTGCCAGATACAAGGCTAAGCAGAAATTAGAAGACATAGTCTTATTCTCAAGCCAATTATAGATTTCACTAATTCTTTTTTTTATTATTAAATTTTATTAGTTTTAATGAACATTTACAGAGATTTTGGGTTTTCATTCATTCATTGTTGCACTGTTTTCTCCACCCTCATCCCCAGTTCGTTCTTATTCCCCCCCCATGTCTGTTTTAATTGTCCAATTGCCACAGTGCTTGTCAAAGTCAGTTCTGATTAATTTCCTTTGTCAGTGTGTCCCTTGCCATTCCCTATCACTCCTCCCTGAGAGAGACTTCACCCTGATTCATAAGGAAGATTTCACTAATTCTTGATTATACCTGCTAATCAGTGAAGGAATAAAACAAATGTAGCAGATATATAACTTCATCTTCCTTCTCCATCATTCGGAATAGCCCAATGTACAGAATTTGTATGTTTTCCCTCCTCTCTTAATTCCCTAATTATATTCTGATTGAGTGTCCAACAAGTAACCGGTACCCATTTAATAAAAACTGATTTTCCAGTGAGGTGGAAAAGGTAAGTGTGGGGACCCTGACAAATAAGAAAGGGGAAACCATTCTATAAATAAGGGAATAGATTTTTCCATAGATTCAAAAGGTCTAGAATCTTACCAGATGTAATCCTTTAAATGTAGGTTGAAGAATACATTACTCCCGAAAAGTTCAAATACTGGGGAAAAGTTGGAAATGAACTTGGCTTCCATTACACTGCAAGTGGTCCTCTGGTGCGTTCTTCATATAAAGCAGGTAAGTTAGGCAACAGGAAATGCTTTTATTTAGACTGTAACTTTCTATGTTGGGCTCTCCGCTGAATCACTAAACTTCCATGGTAAATTACAGTAAATGCGGCTGTCTTTTGCTTTGAGAAAAAAGTTTCTTTCCTGGGACATCCTTAAGACATCCAGTCCGTGAGCGTTATATTCCTGGGAAGTTATTATTTAATTTGTCCCTTAAATGAAGTCTCTTCTCCTTTGCAATTCAATGCAATGATGAAGTCAGAAGTCATCTGTTTATTCTCTGTGTGGATTCTGGGAGTAGAATATCCAGAAATAACAAATATCAGTCAAGCATATAATACGGCTTTCTGAAAAAGGTGCATTCATATTGAATTGGTACCAACTGCAGCCCCAAACTTCCAATTTCAGATTAATTTAAACTTTAAAATGATCTCTGATAGCATTGCTGCTTGCATCATTAACTTCTTTGGGTTTTTCCCTGGAGGCAACAGAAAAAAAAGACTTATTTTCCATGTAGAAATCAGTAATGTTGTTATTAGCTACACATGCTACTTTTTTTTTCTCCTTTGGAATTTGAGGGTTTTTCTACTTAGACATTTGAACTCATCTGTGAAAAGAAAACCATTTTCCAAGGATGAAATAGTAATATGCATTGTAAAGAATGAAGAAGAAAGGAGGGAGTCTCACCTTTTCTCACCTCAGAAACTACTTCCACATCCATGGTTGTTGAAGCATCCTGGTACTGGGGCAACAACAGACATAAGGACCAGGGGAACAGAATTGAAAATCCATAGAACAAATTCATCCAGCTAGAAACAGCTGATCTTTCAGACAGGATCGAAGTACATTAAATGGTGCTAGCAAAACTCGATATTAATTTTCAAAAATTAAACAGGATCTATAGCTCATACAGGTCACACAGAAAAACTAACTCAAAATGCATCAAAGACCTAAATCCTAGACCCAAAACTCTAAAGTTCAGAGAAGAAAAAATAGGAATAAAACCCAAATCTGTGTCATAAGTAGACTATCAAACAGAACTAAACATATACAAAAAATGTAAGATAAAGCAGATACGCCAGCAACAATAGCAAAAGTTCAACAGGACAGCAGACAACGTATGCTGGCAAGGTTGTGGAGAGCTTGGAACCCTTATTCACTTTCGTGGGAATGTAAAATGGTACAGCCACTATGGAAGGTAGCCTGCCGCTTTCTCAAAAAGTTGAGAATATACTTACCTGGCAGGGGAGATACCATGATCACGAAGGTGGTTTTCCCAGGGTGAAGCTTATCCACTACACTCCGGAAGTGCTGATCCCTGCAATTCCACTGCTCCCCGCCTCCCCCTCAAAAAAGTTGAGACTACAAATACCATTTGAGTCAGCAGTTCCACTACTGGAAATATACTCTAAAGAATCCAGAGCCATGACTCAAATAGATGTATGCACACCTTCTTTATTACTGTGTTATAGCAAAGAGATGGAAGCAACCCAAGTGCCCATCAACAAATGAATAGACAAAAAGAGTATAGTACATTCACATGGTGGAATCTTATGCAGCATTGAAAAACAGTGAATTAATAAAATATTACACAGCATGAGTGAGCTGGAGGACATGCTGAGTGTAATATCTCAGTCACAGACAAACACACCCTTATAAAATAGAACAGACATGACAGGGTTGGGGAGAGAATGGGAGAAGAGTGTATAGGTAACACTGCATTAGAAGAGATGAGAGGAAGAACTTTAAAAGGAATTTATGATTAGGCTTTATATATGTGACAACAATCTAGGAAAAGGGGTACATTGTGGGGAGGGGAGGGGAGGAAGAAAATGTTCAACAATGAAAAAAAAATTAAGAAAGATAAATCAAGAACCTCTGGTGGCCTAGTGGCAAGAAGCTGTGCTGCAATCCCGAAGACGTGGTTTGATGCTCCACTGGAGAAGGAAGGGCAAACTCCTCCTGTACCAGTCGGACCCTACTTGATGACAGCCATGCACAAAAATAATAATAAAAGAATATTTTTTTAAAAAAAGATAAAGCAGGTAACTGAGACTTTGTAGAAACTTAACACTTGATTGAGTTCACCGAAGACTTCACCAAAAGAGTAAAAAGAGGACTTGCAGATCGAAAAAGCTTTTTTGGCAATAACATACCTGACAAGAGTCTAATCTCTAAAATGTATAGAAAGCTTCTGTACCTCAACAACAGAAGGACTGTCTAAGTTAGACAAATAACACAAACAGACACTTCACCAAAGAAGACACCGAAGACAGAGCAAAAGTCAACATTGCAAGAAAATGTTGAATTGTTTGATATATGCCATGGATTGAGGTCTGCAGTTGTTGTTGTCCCCCATTTCAAGATAAATAAATCCAAAGTAAGGACCATTGTGAGCAAAAAAAGGAAATTTGTAAAGACCACAGTCAACTCTGTTAGTACCAGCAATATCGCACTGGGAAAGTCTGCAGTCAGGGACCTTTTCACTTTTCAAATTATTGAGGAATAGTGACGTCAGTTTGAGGTCCAAAGTGCATCTGATTTAGGCCATGGTGTTCCTGATCACTTGCTATGGATCTGAGAGCTGGACAGTGAATAAGGATGACAGAACAAGGATTGATGCCATTGAGCTGTGATCTTGGAGAAGAGTAGAGAACATCCCATGGACAGCCAAGAGAATAAACAGATATGTCGTGTAGATGGTACAACTAGAGTGTTTCTTGAAGACAGAGGTAATCAAGCTTCATCTCACATACTTCAGGCATGCTGCTAGGAGGGGCTATAACTTGAAGAGGGACACCATGCTTGGAAAGGCAAAGGGTTGGCGAAGGAGAGAAGGACACTCAGCCAGGTGGATTGACATGGTGACTGCTACAGTGAGCTCTAGTGTGTCAGGAAGTGTGAGGATGGCACAGGATAGAGCAAGGTTCAGATCTATTGTTCGTAGGGTCGCTGTGGGTCATATTTGATAGCCTTTATCAATAATAGTAGCTGTTGCTTCAGTTACATGAACATGTATAAACCTTGCACTTTTTGTGAAATACGTTTTCACCTCAGAGAAAACACAGCTTCTGTGTGGGTATAGTTTATATAATACATATAACATATAAAGTATATTATCAGTAAGGCTTCTCAGTCAACAGTAGGCTAATAATAGTTACGTTTAGGGGCAGTCGAGGGTTATACATTGATTTTCTTTTTTTTAAATTTATTTATTTATTTATTTATTTTTCATTTCAATGATTGTGCAGGGCATTAGCACCACTAGTTCTGTACTGTTCAACTGTATACAGATATCAACAAAAAAACCAAACCCATATACATAGAGTTGTGAATATTTATACATGATTAACTGTATTTACTACTTGTATACGTAGAGGGTACAGGTGTAGAATATCCTTAGACCTAGCCAAACACATAGTGGATGTGAGCTGTTAGGCTTGAAAGCTAAGGATCTTGGGACGTCTAGATAACTGCCGTGACACTGTCCGTAAAGATGTCCTACATTCTAGTTTGGTGAGAAGCCTCTGGTGTCTTAAAAGCTTGCAAGCAGGCTTATAAGACACAATTACTGGTCTCTGCCCACCTGGAGCAAAGGTCCAGAGAAAACCAAGCTCTGCTGAACCTCCTGGAGCCTGAGACCAGAAGAACTAGATGGTGCCCAGCTACCACACCACCAGACACCCTTAGAATAGAAGACCTTGGTTAAAATGGGTGAAAGATAGAGAAGAAAATTTATATTGATGAAAACTACCAGACTTACCCATCTGATAAGAACTGGAGAAACATCCCTGATTATTGCCCTTAGCTGCCCTTCTAACGTGGAAATGAAGCCTCTTCCAAACCAGATAATAGATAGGCCTATAAAAGCAACAGGAGCATTTGTGAGAGATGTGTGCCAGGACAGTCTATAGGAGAGGAAAAGGCAACATTTGGAAGGGGAGAAACAGGGTAAACGAATGGAAACCGAGAACCCAGTGTGGGACAGGAGAGTGCCAACATATTGTGTCGGTTGCAATCAATATTGGAGAACAATACATTTAGGAATTATTGAATGAAAAATCAATTTTCTGTGTAAAATTTCACCTACTGCGCAGTAAAAATATTATATGTTAAATGTGTTTTTTAAAATTATAAGGGAAGAGCTCTTGTAGCCTAGTGGCAAAGAAGCTACACTATAATCCAATGGTGTATGGTTCAGGTCCACCAGATGCTCTGCTGGAGAGGGAGGGGCAGTCTCCTGTGTCAGTCTGGTCCAATTTGATGGCATAAAACAAGAAAGAAGGAAAAAAGTCCAAAAAAAATTATGTTATAAAAAATTATGATCATCAGAAATTTATAGGAGCGCATATGTAATGACTAAATTTAATAAAATGTTCATGATGTTTTTTCCTGTCAGTTAAACTTAGCAATTAAAAGTTTTTAAATAATAAATAGCTATTTTTGCATGTTGTTGATGGTGGTGATTGCTGTCAAGCCAAGCACAACTCATAGCGACCCTATTAATAAAAGGTCTGAAGCTTTTCTGTGATGTCACTTATCAAGAAAGTGTCATTTTATAACTCTTTTTTTAGTAACTCTTAATGACCTTTTAAATAACTTTATTGGAATTCAAATAAAATATATTTAAATAGATGTAAATACTATTGATAAGTTAATATTTCAAGTATTGTTGTTACTGTTTATTAGTTAATTCAAATATTAGTAATATTCACTTCAAATCTGCTGCCAAGGACCTCTTTAAAATGTCACTTTAGAGCAAGGTTGTCACTTTAAAAACTAAGGTGCACCTGGTCCAAGCCATAGTATTTTTTTTTTCAGTTTTATATGTGATCTGAGTGAAAATTTACAAAGAAAAGTTTCCATTGAACTATTCATATACAGAGATTTATTAGAAAATTACATCCTAAAGATGAGACAAACCCTCCTCAGAAAGAAAATATGGAGGAGGCTGTTTTCTAATATTAATTTTATTAGAACAGCAACTCACAATATAATCATACTCTTTCCACTTCCTTTTTACAATTCTAGTTTTCATTAATTTGTCCATCCTACCAGAAGTCCAGGCTGGGTTCAGAAGGGGTCGTGGTACTAGGGATATTGTATCTGATGTTAGATGGATCTTAGCTGAAAGCCAGGAATACCAGAAGAATGTCTATCTGTGTTTCATTGACTATGCAAAGGCATTTGACTGTGTGGATCATAACAAACTGTGGCTGACTCTGAGAAGAATGGGAATCCCAGAACATTTAATCATGCTAATGCGAAACCTATACTTGGACCAAGAGGCAGTCGTCAGAACAGAGCAGGACAACACTGCATGGTTCAAAATTGGGAAGGGTGTACGCCAGGGATGCATCCTGTCTCCATACCTTTTCAACCTGTGTGCAGAGCAGATTATCCGAGAGGCTGGGCTCTATGAGGAGAAGCGTGGCATTAGGATTGGTGGATGATCTATCAACAGTCTGCGTTATGCAGATGACACAACCATGCTCGCTGAAACTGAGGAGGACCTGATGCACTTACTGCAGAGGGTCAAGGACTGCAGCCTTCAATATGGACTGAGGCTTAATGTCAAGAAGACAAAAATTCTCACCACTGGACAAATCGGTAGCATCAGGATGGATGGCGAAGAGATTGAGATTGTTCACAGCTTCTGTTTGCTCGGCTCCACAGTCAACACTCTTGGCACCAGTAGCAAAGAAATAAAAAAACGTATTGCGATGGGAAAGTCTGCGGTTAGGGACCTCTCTAAAGTACTCAAGAACAGCAGTGTCTCTCTGGAGACTAAGGTGCGCCTGATACAGGCCATGGTTTTTGCAATCACTTGTTATGCATCAGAGAGTTGGACAATGACTAGGGAGGATAGAAGGAGAATTGACGCCTTTGAGCTGTGGTGCTGGAGAAGAGTATTGAATGTACCATGGACTGCCAAGAAAACAGATTCATCGTAGAGAGATTAAACTAGGCTGCTCCTTGGAGGCAAGGATTCTGGGACTTCGTCTGACATACTTTGGACATGTTGTAAGGAGAGACAGGTCTTTAGAGAGGGTCATCATGCTGGGTAGAGTAGAGGGACAGCGCAGGAGGGGAAGACCATCTATGAGGTGGATTGATTCAGTGACTGGGGTAATCGGGATGGGTGTGTCAAAGGCAATGCAATTGGCACAGGATAGAGCAGGGTTTAGGGCTGTTGTACATAGGGTCGCTATGAGTCGCAAATGACTCGACTGCACATAACAACAGCAACAACCTCTCCCTTCTTTGTGGGCTTTGTTGTTGAGTGCCGTTGAGTCAGAACCAACCCATTGCTGACCCTCCAGCAGATTTTCAGAGGCAATAAATCACACTGGAGGAGATTACCCTCCTTTTCCCACAGAAGACCTAGTGGATTCAAACTGCTTGCTTTGAGGATTGCAGCACAGGTTCTTACCACTAAGCCACCAGCTTTACCGTTGAGCAAATACTGCTCTTTTCACCTTGTATGGTTAGTTATTCTAAGGATTGAGTGGCTCCCCGGTGATACTAGTGATACTGGTCGCCTGTCTAGTGTTTGAAAGTCAAGCAGTGGTGGTAAGTTTTGTCCTAGGTTCTAAGGGTAACTAAGTCATAGTCTCTGGGGTTCCACCAGTTTCTGTCAGACCAGTAAGCCAAGTGCACATTGATATTTTTAGTTGTTTCCTATGTGTGTGATAATTAGATGATGATGAATTGATGCATTTGAATTGTGTTGACAAAGAATAGTGGATATACCATGGACTGCCAGAACAAAAAAGTCTGTCTCAGAAGAAAGTGCAGACAGAATACTCTTCAGAAGCGAGGATGATGAGACTTCATCTTCTATCCTTTGTTCATATTGTCAGGAGAGGCCAGTCTCCAGAAAACAGCATCATGCTTGGAAAAGTTTAGGGTCAACAGTTAGAGGGGAAGACCCTAAAGAAGATGAATTGACACAGTAACCACAGCAGTGGACGGAAGCATAGCAGAGGCTGTGAGGATGGCATGGGATCGGGATTGTTCTGTTATGTTGTACACAGGTCACTATGCCGATTACAAAGCACCCAACAACAACAGAATTCTTTGTCCCTGAAGAAATAAATATTTTCATGAACTGATAGCCTGGTTCGAAAACCTAAAAGCTTCATTCAGTACTTACCACCTGAGTTTAAGATCTCTGGAAACCAGTGATTATAAAGGATTTATTCATCAAGCCATACTGTTGGCAGGCTTAGAACAAATACCAACCTCCAGACTGGTGCAAGTACATTAAAATAACCTGCAAGCTTTTATTTATTTTAAGGAAAATGTTCAAGGAAGTGAACTTGGAACTCTTTAAATGTTTTTGTTTTAAATTACTAGTAAATGAATTCTAGTACTTTGATCATTGAACTTGGATGATGAATCAGAGTGAAAATGTCAGTTCTGCTCCTGCCAAATGGGATGAGGTGTAGAGAAGCATTAATTCCTTTATTACTTGTCCTGGGTATGAGCCTTGAGATGCTTGGTGATTATGTATGGTTATGGTCATCGCTGTTCTTCTCATGTGCTAAATAGCAAAGAGGAATTCCTCAGACTTCTCGTAAAATCAGGCCTCCAGTGCCGAGCTCTCCCAATAAGCATTAAGCTGCACTACGATCATGATGGAATAAATGGAACCCTAATGACCTGAGAAAGTGAATGTGCCCCTCTGAACAGGCACCACAGAGGGTGTGGAGGCAAGTCCATTATACACGAAGGGCCGTGGCTTCCCTAGAGGGGAATAAGCATAAAGAGATTCCATCAGATGAATCTTCTCAACTGCAATAAGGCCTGCTTTATAAACATCAGATCCAGAATAATAATGTAGCAGAATTGCTCTCTGAAATGAATTTGGCCAACAGCAATACTTTGTCAGCGATGAGGAATAAGATAGTGCACAGAAAGTGGAACAAACATACAGAAGCAGACCAGTAGGGTCAGCCTGTATAATACTGGGTTAGTAGAAAGAAGAATTTGCAGAGACTAGTGATAAGAATATTTTTCTTTTTTAAAAAAAGAGTTGTGGCTAGTTGGAAAATGGTCCAAAGTTAACAGCAAACATGTCAGGCTAGAGAAATATTGCCATTGGAATTTGAAAAAAAAGAAATGCCAGAAGATGCTAAAGTCTTCTTAAAAGTAGTGAAGCTAGGGGAGCTCTGGTGGCCTAGTGGCAAGGAGCTGCAACTATAATCCGAGAGGCGCACGGTTCGAATCCACCAGATGCTCTGCCGGGGAAGGAGGGGCAGTCTCCTCCTGTACCAGTCAGATCTGATTTGACGGTACACTCACATAAAAAAATAATAATAAAAAAAATGTTTAATAAAAAGAAAGTAGTGAAGCTGAAAGCAACTAGGCAATAATGAAGTGTAACCATGATAGATGGAGAGGAGATTGAGGTTAACAATTACATCTTGCTCAGCTCCACAATCAACACACTTGGCTCCAGCAGTCAGAAAATCAAAAGACAAATTGCATTGGGAAAATCTGCTGTCAGGGACCTCTCCAGAGTGCTGAGAAGTAATGATGTCAGTCGAGAGACTAAGGTACATGTAATCCAGTCTTCTCAATTACTTGTTATGCTTTAGAGAGTTGGGCAATGACTAAGGTTGACAGAAGAAGAATCAGTGACTTCGAATTGTGCTGGAGAAGAGTCTTGAACATACCATGGATTACTAAGATAACAAAGAGGTCTGTCTTGGAGAGAGTGAAACCAAGTTTCTCCTTGGAGGCTAGGATTTTGAAGATCCATCTTGCATACTTTGGGCACATGGCCAGGAGAGACTGGTCCTTGAAGAAGGACAGCATGCTTGGAAGGGTTGAGGGACAGCACAGGAGAGGGAGACCCTGGATGAGATGGACTGATATAGTGACTGAGGCAATGAGGGTTGGTGTGTTGGAATTAATGAGACTGACTCAGGACAGGGCAGGCTTCAGAGCTGCTGTACATAGGGTCATTATGGGTCGCAGGTGACTCAATGGCACATAACAACAATTGTGAAATAGTAGTCATTCTCTTTAGGGAGCACTGAGGGCCTAGTACGTAAGGAACTGTGCTATTAACCCAAAGGCATGTGGTTCAAATCCACCAACTGCTCTATGAAAGAAAGATGGACAACCTCCTTCCTTACAGTTTATGACCTCTGAGCACCTGCTGGAGAGTCAGCTGAGTTAGTTCCAACTCAATGGTACATAACAACATTAACAATCTTACTGTCACTTGTTTTAAATTGATACTAAGTTAAAGTAGTTTGCTTTAAACTAATACTGTATGTTTTATTTTTCCTAAATAGGTGAATTTTTCCTGAAAAATCTCGTGGCCAAAAGAAGATCAAAGGCCCTCTAAAACAAAAACAGACCAGGCTTTCAAGATGATGGGAATTCTTTAAAAATGTAATTCCGGTTGGTAACAAAGGAGCCATAACACCAGACTTCAGTGCATGTGCTACCACTCCTTTGTTTAAGAGAAATGTCAGTAAGCTAATATAGAGTCATGGCCTTTCATTTGGCTTTAGCAGATTTTCCTTGTCCTGGTAAGCAATTTCTTGCCATAATGTAATCATAAATTGTGTTAAGAGCTCAGTATTCACAATATAAAATACATTAAGAACTTCAGAAGACTTTTTACTCTCTCGTTACTATACATTATTGCCACATTTCTTTTATGAAAAATTAGATGCTGTGACAAAACATTCAACACAGATTGAGCCTGTGATGAATTTGTTTATAAATAGCTTACTGGTATACATAGCTTGTTTCATTGCACTTAATTACATTTCTTAGATATTGTGTTTTTCCACATGGAACGTTTGTGGCAGCCCTGCACAAAGCAGTCCATTGGCGCGGAGCCATTTTCCCAAGAGCATCTACTCAGCTTTGTGTCTGTGTCACATTTTGGCAACTCTCACAGTATTTCACACATTTTCATAGTACATGTAAGAGACTGTTCACCCACTGCCATCCAGTTGAAACCAGCTGGTGAATTTGAACTGCAGCCCAATACACCAAGTCTCCTTTTGCAGACTCAGAAGACGTAATCATCACTTTTGTAAGCTCTAGTAAACCAAAGCATTTGTGTGGCTTGCAGTATTGTGATGTTCCCCTTATGGTGGCAGTTTATAGTGTCTGTTTATGTTTCACCTAAGAACACATCATTGGATTGATTCAGAATTACTTAAAAGTTTGAGAATTAGCTGCTTCTTCACATTGATATAACCCCTTCAGACCCTATAATTTTACACTAATTAGTCATATGGGAGTTCTGTGGGACCACAGCAGAAATGCATCACCCAGGACTAGCAGTGGTAGCCTGCATTGTGGTAGCTTGCTCCGTCAGCATCCACTATGTCACGTCGTCCTCGTGTTCCTCAGTACTAGTGAGGTGGTTGTGTGTGTGATAGTAATGACCTGAAGGAGGAGTTTCCTCACTAACTGCTAGTAATCCAGTTCTGTTGGCTTTTAATCCAGTCTTTACTGTATTCACAAGAGGAAGTTGTAAAATAATATAGTTGGATAGCAAACTGTTTTGAGTTTTTACATCAGTGGATATCTTTATTATGACAAATAATGCATAACTTGGAAAATTGGTCGCATTTTATTTTAAGGCTGAAGAGCAACCTATACTTAGACTCCCTTTCTTTATAGAAACAACAGGCTGTTGTCATCAAGTTAAGTCTACCTCATAGTGATCCTGGAGGACAGAGGAGGACTGGCCTGCAGGGTTTCAAGGCTGTGATGACTGCAGAAGCAGACAGCCTCAATGTTTTCCCAAGGAGTAGTTGACGAGATCAGCTAGCAGCCAAGTGCTTTAACCACTGTACTACCAGGACTTAATCAATTCTGCTGTGTAACATTTACTTTCATCATTTGTAAACATATCAGGCAACCACTAACTTCAGTAATTATTATTTCACCTATCTAGCATGCTGGCAGGGACCTCTCCAGAGTACTGAGAAGCAACAATGTCAGTCTGGAGACTAAGGTGTGCCTGATCCAGGCCATGGTCTTCCCAATTACTTGCTATCTATCAGAGAGCTGGACAATGACTCAGGATGACAGAAGAAAGATTGATGCCTTTGAGTTGTGGTGCTGGGGAAGTCTTGAAGATACCTTGGACCACCAAGAAAACAAATAGGTCTGTCTTGGAGAGGGTGAAACCAAGTTTCTCCTTGGAGGCTAGGATTTTGAAGCTCAGTTTCACATACCTTGGACACATGGCCAAGACGAACCAGTTGTTGGAGAAAGATATCATGCTTGGAAGGGTGGAGGGACAGCACAGGAGAGGAGGACCCTGGATGAGATGGATTGACACAGTGACTGGAACAATGGAGGTGTTTCAGAATCAGTGAGATTGTCTCAGGACAGGCAGGACGGGGCAGGTGTCAGAGGTTTTGTACATAGGGTCACTATGAGTCCCAGGTAACTCGACGGCACATAACAACAACAGGCATGCCTAGGTATGTAGATGAGCAGGTTGTTGGCTTGAGGTGCAGGGAGTTGTGAGAGCCCCTGGCTTGTTGCACTGGCCCCCTGCCGGCACTGGGGCTGACTGAGGAAACCAGCAGATCTGGAATGCATGGAGCACTGTGGACTCCTGAACCTGCAGCTGATGCCCGTTTGAACCTAACCACGGATGGCTGGAGATGAGTTGATCAGAACCCAAACAGATGAAGCAAAGATGATCCGTGCTGTGCACTAGGGTTGATTGTTGCAACCTGACGGCTTGCTCTGGACTGGACTTTGCTTATGGATGCAGATGTGCAAAGTTTCCAAATTGAGCAGAGGATTCCTTAACAGAAGGGACATGCTTGTTCCCTCAGAGGCCTGGTTTGATGAATGAGATTCTTCTTGTCTTTAAGAAAGGAAAATTTTGGTGAGCTCTGGTAGCCTAGTGGCAAGAAGCTGCACTGTAATCCCAGAGGTGCACAGTTCAAATCCACCAGATGCTCTGCTGAAGCAGGAGGAACAATTGCCTCCTGTACCAGTCAGATCTGATTTGACAGTACACACATTAAAAAAAAGAAATAATTTTAAAAAACCATGTTTCTTTAAAAAAAAAGGAAAATTTTGAAATGAAATATAAAGGGTTGTGGTTTAGTTTTTTTCTCTCTATTGTACTATATCATTACAGGGCTCTGGTAGCCTAATGGCAAGAAGTAGCACTGCAATCCTGTAGGTACACGGTTCGAGTCGACCAGCTGCTTTGCGGGAAAAGGCTGGCCAGTCTCCTCCCATGCGATTAACTGTCCCTGAAAACTCACTGGAGAATCAGCTATGGGTCGGTCCCAGCTCTACAGTGTACAACAATGGCATGTCATTACCATCTTAAAACTTGATGCAAACCTCTTACTTTTTCTTTTATTCCTTGTGTACTGTCAAGTCGGATCCAACTGGCACGGAAGGAAATTGCCCCTCCTTATCCAGTGGAGCATCTAGTGGATTCAAACTTCACGCCTTTAAGATTGTAGTGCAGCTTCTTGCCACTAGACCATCAGAGCTCCCTTTTTCTTTTTTTGCAAACTTCTTATTTTTTTATAGGCTTTTAAAGTATGTATCACATTTATAAATGTTTTCTTGACTCTTTAAAGCTGTAAATCATCTGGCATACTATAGATTACTACGTAGAGTAGGAATTTCATATAGAAAACTAATCATTATTCCAGTGCCTGGGCATTTAGTTGGGGCTTAGCTGCATCATTGGACCTTGGAGAAATGTGGCTGCTTTTGCCTTAATGATCTCACTGGAAAATATTTGTAACTCTTGCTCTAAAATCTCACACAGGAGTTTTTGTGATGCCCTAAAAAAAAAGTGTTTTGAAAATTCTCTATTAAAAGTAGCAAGTGATTTCGTTGTTGGGAAATTTAGACTCAGGCCTCTCCAAGTGGGAGAGAAGAGGCAGTGGGCTCCCATAGATCTCCAGCCTCAGAAATCCCATGGGGCAGCTGTGCTCGGTCCCATGTGATCACTGTGAACTGGAATTGACTTGACAGCACTGGAGTTTTCAGAAGTGCCTGGAGGCTCTTCTTTTAATAACTTATAAACCTTGAAGATACTTTAATCCAGAAAGGAGCCCAAAACACACTAAAGCTTCAAGACTGAGCTGAGGTGTGAGAAGCAAGGGGGAAAGCTGTTGTGTACAACATGGAACAGCTTACAAGTGGACGATGGAAAACAGTGAGGGACAGAAGGGTGAGGATGGCCACTGTGAGCGAAAGGTGAACCCAGCTGGAGCTGGAAGAGGATGAGGTGGTCTCTCCTGGCAAAGGACAGTATGAAGTGAGAAGCTGGAATTTGCTTACGAATAATCTGAGGCTGGGGGAAATATACATGAAACAAGATCCGTAATGCAAATGCCATGGTTTGGATCAGGCGCACCTTAGTCTTTAAACTGACATCTTTGCTCTTTAGCACTTTGGAGAGGTCCTTTACAAGTAGATTTCCCAGTGTGACACATCTTGATTTTGATAGTGCATTGAGGTAAAAGGAAATCCTTGACAACTTCAGTCTTTTCCCCATCTATCATTATGTTGCCCGTTTGTCCAGTGGTGAGGATTTTTGTTTCCTTGATGTTGAGATGCATGCCATATTGAAGACTGTAGTGTTTGATCTTCTGCAATAAATGCTTCAAATTCTCTTCATTTTCTGCATGCAAGGTTGTGTTAGCTGCATAACGCAGGTTGTTAATCAATCTTCCATCCTGATAACACTTTAGAGGAGGCCCTGGTAGCATGATTGATTTGTGTGGAGCTAACTGAAGGATGTTCCATTCAAATCCACCTGTGGTTTCAGGGAAGAAAGACAGGCAGTCTTCCAGTCTTCTCCTACCAAGATTTACTGTTGTTAGGTGCTTTCGAGTCATAACAACCCTGTGAACAAAAGATCAGAACCCTGTTCTATCCTTCACCATCCTCACACTTCCTGACACATTTGAACCCAATGAAGCAGTCACTGTGTCAGTCCACCTAGTTGAGGGTCTTCCTCTCCCTCACTGACCCTCCAACCTTCCAAACATCATGTCCTTCTCCAAGGAATAGCCACTCCTAGCAATATGCATTTATACAGAAAGCTCTCTCTCTATATATGTGTGTGTCTGTATGTGTTTGTTTATACATACTCACATCTATATACGTTCGCAGAAGTACAGGAACCCCTGGTGGCTTAGCAGGAAGGACTTGCATTACCAAGCCAAAAACATGCATTTTGGGTTCACCAGCTGCTCCATGGTAGAAAGATGAGCTGTCTTCTCCCATGTGATTTACTGCCTCTGAAAACTTGCTGGAGGGTCAACTATATGTCTGTTTTGACTTGACAGAACACAACAACAAATACATGTATGCCATTAGGTT